GGGCTCAGCAGAAGCGCCAGGATCAGCGCAGAGCTCCAGCTGGAGCCTGGTGCTGAGCCTGGCGCTTCCGCTGAGCCCTGACAGCCCCGAAGCGCCAATCAGCTGGAAAGCGGCACTGATCCTGGTGCTTCCGCTGAGCCCTGACAGCCCTGCAGCTCCAGCCGTCTCTCGCTCAGGCTTCTGCAATGCTGCCACGGGTTCAGCTCATTCCCCTCCCCCGCTACCACTTTTCTAGGATGGTCGCGTACCACCTGCCAGGGGCCAATGGACCACAAGTGGTACCCGTACCACTGGTTGAAAAGCCCTGGACTAGATGACCTCCAAGGTCTCTTCCAATATCATCATCATCATCATCATCATCATATTATTATTATTACTATTATTATTATTATATCCATTTATCATCACATTGATCTATCACTGACCTATCCATCATCTATCTCTTGCTTTGATTTATATAACTATCTGTCTTTCTGTCTGTCTGTCTTTCTATCTATCTATATTTATCTATCTATCTTCTATCTATCTACATAGCTAGCTAGCTACCAACTTCTGTTTCTCTATCTGTCTGTCTGTCTGATTTATATAGCCATATCTATCATCTATCTATCCTTATCTATTTATTCTTATTCTACAGTATCTCTATTTCTATTTCTCTCTCTCTCTCTCTCTCTCTCTCACACACACACACACACACACACACATACGTGCCCAGGCACACACACGCACACACATACACACACTCACCTTGCTGAGATCCTTGGCAGTGACCCCGTCGTCATCCCGACACGGCAGCTTATGTACGAAGGCCAGCATCTGGTATTTGGCACGGATGAATTCCGACTTGGTGGGGCTGGGGGGGGGGTGAAATAAAGGATCAGGCAAAACGCTTTCCGTGCCCCCCCCAAGGACTGACCCTATCCGTATTCCAGAGGGGTCCGTGACTTTGGGGGGGGGGGAGCAAAAGCAAGAAGCAGGAAGAAAACACTTCGGACATGCTGTATGAATGTACTTATTTTACTGTTTTATCGTTATATTATTGTTTTAATTTTGTACGCCACCCTGAGTCCCTCGGGATTGGGCGGCATATAAATTTTAGAAATAAATAAATATTAAATAAATAAAGCTCAGGCTAGGCGTACACCCACCAGATGTACTGCCCCCTTTAAGGTGGGGCTCTTTGGTTGCCCAATCACCATTCCAATCCTTGAAGCCCCTTGCGGACCCTCCATCCACAAATTCTGACTTGCAACTGTGGCCATAAAGTCAAAGAGTACCTGTACAGCGGAGGGGGGGGGGAAACCTCATTTGCCAACGAGAGGAGCGACAAATAAATTTAATAAATAAACCAGACTTGGGGTGGGGGCTGCTAATTTTAAGCGAATTAAAAAGGTATAAACTTTGTCAAAGTGGCATGGAAACGCCCTCTCTTATCTCCAGAAATATCTGGGCCAAGCGTCACAAGCCGGGGTAGCAGATATTTCCTCCCTGAGCAGGGGGTTGGACTAAATGACCTCCAAGGTCCCTTCCGACTTTATTATTATTATGGATCATCGCACAATCAGCCAGATGTTCAGACTGGATTTGGCATTTTGTCTACCTATCGAGTCCTTACCCAGGACCCGGGATAGGCAGATGTGGATGTTTGATGGTATTACAGATCTCGTCGCAGGATGGAAGCAGTTCCTAGTAAGGCCGCCTTTTGTAATTGACTAATGGCAAATTTGTCAGTGCCGATAATGGTGTTCAAGTGGTGCTCCAGTTGTTTTGGGATTGCACCCAAGGAGCCTATGACTATTGGTACTACCCTTGCTGGCTTTTGCCACAGTCTTTCTATTTCTATTTGTAGGTCTTTGTATTTTGTTATCTCCTCCAGTTCTTTCTCGTCTATTCTGCTGTCTCCAGGCACTGCCACGTCCACTATCCAGACTTTTTTTGGCAGCGGGGGTAGGGTTAAGTCCGGGGTGTTATGTTGCAGGTGGTTGTTATTGTTCTTGTTGTTGTAGTTGTTGTTATTATTATTATGGATCATCACACAGTCAGCCAGATGTTCAGACTGGATTTGGCATTTCGTCTACCTATTGTTGTTGTTGTTGTTATTATTACCAAGGCATTCCCCCCTCACCCCCTCAAAAGACAACCCTCCCAAAAAACCCCACTCACTGGACTTTGTCCTGAGGATTCGCTTTACGGCGTCCGCTCTGCACTTGTGCTGGATCGAGCAGGGAGTGTTCCCAGATGGAGTTGGCACCATTGCTGGCGAGGGTGTGCACCATCTGGAAGAGAATACAATGGGGGGGGGGTTTGTGGGAGAGCATGAGCACATATTGTGGGACAGACACACACACATACACACACACACACACACACACACACCCTCCCTCCCTTGCTCCCTCCCTGCCAGGAAGGCTTCCCGGAGAAGCGAGCATGATCATCCCTTCTGTTCATCCAGCTTGCAAACACGAGATTCCCTTCCGATGTTCATTAAGCTGGGAGTCTCGGTTTGCTTTTTGGGGGTGGGGGAAAGGGGGTTATTTTTTTTTTTAAGGGAACGTGGCTCTGATTTAGAAAAAGGGAATCATAAAGCTGGAAGGGTCCTTGGAGGTCCTCTAGTCCTCCCCTCTTGCCCAAGCAGGAGAGCCTACACATCATTCCAGATAAATGGCTGTCCAATCTCTTCTTAAAAAGTTCCAGTGTTGGAGCACCCGCAACTTCTTGTGGCAAGCCGTTCTACTGGTTAAGAATAGAATAGAATAGAATAGAAGAGAAGAGAAGAGAAGAGAAGAGAAGAGATTTTGGAATAAAGAATAGAATAGAATAGGATAGGATAGGATAGGATAGGATAGGATAGAGAATAGAACAGAATAGAGAATAAAATAGGATAGGATAGAATAGAACAGAACAGAACAGAATAGAATAGGAATATGAAAGGGACCTTGGAGGTCTTCTAGTCCAGCCCCCTGCTCAAGCAGGAGAACCTATACCATTTCAGACAAGTGACTGTCCAGTCTTTTCTTAAAAACCTCCAGTGATGGAGCCCCTACGATTTCTGGTGGCAAGCTGTTCCACTGGTTGATTGTCCTCCCTGTCAGGAAGTTTCTCCTTAATTCTAGGTTGCTTCTCTCCTTGATCAGTTTCCAACCATTGTTTCTCGTCCTTCCCTCTGGTGCTTTGGTGAATAGTGGCAGCCCCCCCCCAATACCAGAATACCGCTATCCTGTCCCCCCTATTTCTTCTTTTCTTTAGACTAGCCAAACCCAAGTCCCGCAGCCGTTCTTCGTATAGTTTAGTCTCCAGGCCTTGGATTCCTCTTAGTTGCTCTTCTCTGAACTTTTCCCAAAGTCTCAACCTCTTTTTTGTAGTGTGGTGACCAAAACTGGTTGCAGTTATCACGGTCACAAAACAGAGAAGCAAGCTGGAATGAAGGAGAAATTTCCCGTCGGTGGGAACAATTAACCAGTGGAACGGAAGTTGCTTCCAGATGTTCTAGTTGCTTCAACAACGGGAGGTTTTTAAGAAGAGACTGGACAGCCACTTGTCTGAAATGGTCTAGGGCAGTGGTTCTCAACCTTTTTAATGCCGCGACCCCCAACCGGTCATAAGTCGAGGACTACTCAACCGGTCGTAAGTCGAGGACTACTCAACCGGTCGTAAGTCGAGGACTACTCAACGGGTGCAACACCCTTGGCAGAATGGGACTTCTGGCGGGCTCAGCAGGGCAGAGACAACCTGGACAATTCCTATTGGCTTTGGAAAGCCAATAGAATTAGACTCTATTCAAGAGAGTCTATTCTATTGGCTTTCGAAAGCCAATAGAATAAAAGGGAGTAGCACAGCTAAGGAAAAGGGGGGAAAATGGCGGACTGCGTTGTTTGGCGACCCCCATGAAATGGCCGTTCGACCCCAAATGGGGTCCCGACCCACAGGTTGAGAACCACTGGTCTAGGGTCTCCTGTTTTTGAGCAATGGGGGAGTGTACTAGAAGACCTCCAGGGTCCCTTCCAACTTTTGTGATTCTGTAAAGGTCTCCTGCTTTGAGCAAGGGGGGTGGACTAGAAGACCTCCAAGGTCCCTTCCAACTCTGACTGATCGATCGATTGACCGATTGAAGTCCCACGTCCACAGCAGGGACCGCCCCACACTCACCTGTAGCAAGGTGGCCGACCAGGGGCTGTGTCGCAGGTGCTTCACAATGGAAATATGCCGGCCCAAGCTACGATGGACGCTACAACATTCATCGCACACCAACACACCTCGGTTGATGGACGCCCAGCCGGGGTCTGGAGAGAGAGGTGGGGAGGGGGAGGACCGTTGTGAAACAGGTGGGGAAAAGGGGAGGCAGCCTGGGAGCCCCCCACCCCTTCAGGAGGCACTTGGAAAGGGACTCCAGAAACCATGCTCCATCATCGCAGCCCGGACGAGGCGACCTCGGTTTGGAAAAACGGGGTGTGCCCTGCTTTTGGGGTGTGGTGTGAAGGGTTTGACGGAGGGCGGGCGTTTAAAAATTCCAATTTTTCTCTGAAATGAATTCGGCCGGCCCTTTGGAAAAACGGCTCTTTTCCTGCGGTTCTTTTTGCTAAAAATTTATACAAGGCCAGCCTGTTCTTCACACAAAGGTGTCGCGTCTTTTCACAGTCACAACATGATGCCATCACCATCACCAATGGAGGGAGGGGGGCATGGAAGCCATTTTTTTTTAATTTTCTTTTCCAGAGGTTTGCAGATCCTGACCTCCCTCTTTGACACCCCCCCCCCTCGTCGCACTCCTAGCTAGCGGCCTGAAATGGGGTGGGGGAAAGGAAACGCATTCTGCAAAAGTTATGGGAAAGAAACATTAAATTAAACTAAAGCAGTGCCCTATAAAGAAAACGTATATAAAATGTTTTACAGATGGCATACGACACCAGTGAGATTAGAAAAAATGTTTAAAAATACTTCAAACAAGCAGGGGGTTGGACTAGATGTCCTCCAAGGTCCCTTCCAACTTTATTATCATCATCATCATCATCATCATTATTATTATAGATCATCGCACAGCCAGATGTTCAGACTGGATTTGGCATTTTTGTCTACCTATCGAGTCCTTCGCAAGGACCTAGGATAGGCAGATGTGGATGATGATGGTGATGATTATGGATCATCGCACAGTCAGCCAGATGTTCAGACTGGATTTGGCCTTTTGTCTACCTATCGAGTCCTTACCCAGGACCTGGGATAGGCAGATGTGGATGTTTGATGGTATTACAGGTATCGTCGCAGGATGGAAGCAGTTCCTAGCAAGGCCGCCTTTTGCAATTGACTAATAGCGAATTTGTCAATGCCAATGGTGTTCAAGTGGTGCTCCAGTTGTTTTGGGATTGCACCCAAGGCGCCTATGACTATTGGTACTACCCTTGCTTGCCTTTGCCACAGTCTTTCTATTATTATTGTTGTTGTTATTATTATTATTATTATTAAATGCAAGCAAAGACCAGGTACCGATGATCCTATCTGGTGGACATGCCTTGGCCTAACGTGAAAAGATTTGGGGTTCAAATACATTTATGGTTGGAGAAAATGACCCAAAAACAAATAGACTTGAAACCAGGATTATTTTTGTGAGGAATAATAGGAACCAATTATGAGAAAGATTGCAGATATCTAATACTACATGTATCCGTCTGTCCATTCATCCATCCATCCATCCATCCAATTTATTTATTTGTCGTCTGTCCGTCTGTCCATCCATCCATCCTTCCATCCACCCATCTATTTTATTTTTTATTTGTCTGTCTGTCTGTCCGTCTGTCCGCCTGTCCGTCCATCCATCCATCCATCCATTTTATTTATTTGTCCGTCTGTCCATCCATCCTCCCATCTATTTTATTTATTTATTTATTTATTTATCTGTCCGTCCGTCTGTCCATCCATCCTTCCATCCACCCATCTATTTTATTTATTTATTTATTTGTCCGTCCGTCTGTCTGTCTGTCTGTCCGTCCGCCTGTCCGTCCATCCATCCATCCATCCATCCATCTTATTTATTTATTCATTCATTTACTTACTTACTTACTTATATTTGTTTGCTGCTGATCTTACTGCAAGGCTTCTGAAAGCCGGAGACACACCCCTTCCCCCCCTCTCTCTGGTTGCTAAGGAAACCCCTAAAGGTCTCCCTAGCAACCGCCAGGGGGTTCTGCCGGTCGCTAAGGAAACCCTTCCTTTGTGATGGCCACTCTCCCTCCCTCCCTCCCTCCTCTCCTCAGCCTAAATCGGACCCTCGTCACAAAAGGAGGACCTGCCCTCTGAAAGAATTCTAGAATTTTAGAATAACCAGAGCGGAAAGGGACCTTGGAGGTCTTCTAGTCCAACCCCCTGCTCAGGCAGGAAACGCCTAGGGTAGACCCTTTCAGATAAATGGCTGTCTAGTCTCTTCTTCAAACTCCCCCAAACCCGGCTAAATGCCCCTCCGCCAGGCCACCAAGCAATGCCCGCTCCCCTCCATTCCCCACCCGCCGGGGCCCCTGGAGATAGGAAGAAGCCCCCAATTTTAAAACAAGGCTATCCAACCTTGGCCCCGTTAAGACCGATGAACTTCAACTCCCAGAATTCCAAGCAATGCCCCCCCTCTCTCCGCCCCCCCTCCATTCCAACCTTCTCCAGATAAGGAAACCCTTCCAAAGGAATAACCCAAAAGATTTAAAACCTGTGGACTTCGACTCCCAGAATTCCAAGCAATACTCCCTCCCTCCCTATCTCTCTCTCCCTCTTTCTCCCTTTCCCTCCCTCTCCTTCTCTCCCTCCCCCCTCTCTATCTCTCTCTCCCTCTTTCTCCCTCTCCCTTCCTCCCTCCCTTTCTCTCTCCCTCCCTCTCTCTATCTCCCTCTCCCTCACTCACTTTCTCTCCCTCCCTCTCTCTATATCTCTCCCTCCCTTCCCTTCTCTCCCTCCCACTCTCTCCCTCTCCCTTTCTCTCTCCCTCCCCCCTCTATCTCTCTCTCCCTCTTTCTCCCTCTCCCTCTCCCCCTCTCTCCCTTTCTTCCTCCCTCTCTATATCTCTCCCTCCCTTCCTTTCTCTCTCCCTCTCTCTCCCTCTCCCTCTCTCCCTCCCACTCTCTCCCTCTCCCTCTCTCCCTTTCTCTCTCCCTCCCCCCTCTCTATCTCTCTTTCCCTTTCTCCCTCTCCCTTCCTCCCTCCCTTTCTCTCTCCTCCCTCTCTCCCTTTTCCCTCCCCCCTCTCTCCCTCTCTCTCCCTCACTTTCTCTCCCTCCATCTCTCTCTATATCTCTCCCTCCCTTCCTTTCTCTCCTCTTCCCCTCTCCTCTCTCCATCCCTCCCTCCCCACTCTCTCTCCTCCCTCTCCTCTCTACTCCCTTCCCCTTCTCTCCCTCCCTCTATCTCTCTTTTCTCTCCCTCCCCCCTCCCTCTATCCTCTCCCTCCCTCCTTTTCTCTCCCTCCCTCTCTATCTCTCCCCTCCCTCCCTTTCTCTCTCCCTCTCTATCTCTCCCTCCCTCTCCCTCCCTCCCTTTCTTTCTCCCCCTCTCTCCCTCCCTCCCTCTTTCTCTCTCTCTCTCCCTTCCTCCCTCTCCCCCTCCCTCCCTCTCTCTCCATCTCTCTCTCCCTTCCATTCCAACCCTCTCCAGATAAGGAAACCCTTCAGAAGGAATAACCAGAAAAGATTTAAAACCTATGGACTTCAACTCCCAGAATTCCCCAGCTGGGGAATTCTGGGAGTTGAAGTCCACAGGTCTAAAAGGGGCCAAGGCTGGCTAGCCCTGATTTAATAGAAGGGCCTGGACCTCCAGAGAGGGCAGGTTCAGATGCTGGGCGCCTCACCGCCAACCTCGCCAGGGAGACGAGCAAAGGATGCTGGCCTGCCAGCATTTTATCCTGTCCTAATTGATCGTTTCCGGATGCTTCCGGATGCGTGACAACACACAAGCGGCTTTTCACACCTCCCTCTGCCTCCGTCAAAACGCCTCCTCCACGCTCGGCTATTCTGGGCTGTGTCCCCACACCCAGATCCCTCGGGAAGAACTGCCAGGCCCAGAGAGAGCCCCCCCCCCCGCTCACCGGGGAGAAGATTGGGGGGCATCTGCTGTGCCAGGGTGTGGCTGGCGTCTGGGGGGGGGGGTGTCTCAGTTCAGCTTCCCAAGGCTGAGCGTGCAGAGTTCAAATCCTCCTGACAGGGCGGCATTCGGGATGACAGGGCTGGAAAGTTGAGGGGGGCTGCAAAATAGAAGGGCCTGCACCCCAATATAGGATCAGCTCTCCCAGGAGCCTGCACAACAGGGAGGGGGGTCTGCACCCCAATATAGGATCAGCTCCCCCAGGAACCTGAACAAGAGGGGTCTGCACCCCAGTATAGAATCATCCCCCAGGAACCTGCACAATAAGGAGGGGGCTGCACCCCAATATTACAATCCCCTCCCCCATGAACCTGTATGAGGGGTTTGCACCCCAATATAGGATCATCCCCCAGAACCAGCACAACAGGGAGGGGGGTCTGCACCCCAATATAGGATCCTCTCCCCAGGAGCCTGCACAACTGGGAGGGGGGTTTGCACCCCAATATACAATCCCCTCCCCCATGAACCTGCACGAGGGGTCTGCACTCCAATATAGGATCATCCCCCCAGAACCTGTACAACAGGGAGGGATCTGCACCCCAATATAGGATCCCCTCCCCAGGAGCCCGCACAACAGGGAGGGGGGCCTGCACCCCAATATACAATCCCCTCCCCCATGAACCTGCACGAGGGGTTTGCACCCCAATATAGGATCATCCCCCCGGAACCGGTCAACAGGGAGGGGGGTCTGCACCCCAGAAAACCCCCACCACAACAGAGAGGGGAGGGTCCCCCCAATATAGGTTCCTTTCCAGGAACCTGAGGGAGGGGGGTCTGCACCCCAATATAGGATCCCCTCCCCAAGTCCCAAGCTCGCAGGTCAGCCTCGCCCAGCAACGAAGCCCGCAAGAGGGTTGTTCACCAACTGCAAACGCCCCCAAATTTCTAATGGGGTACGGGGGGGGGCAATAACGGGGGGGGGGAGAGAAGAAAAGACCACCTGGGCAGGCAAAGGTTAAATTTTAGGATTCCAGGCTGGGATTTCAGCACTGCCAAGAGAGGGAGGGACGGGGTGTCATTTCTACACCCACAGGAGCCCCCCCCCAATTCCAGGTCAGGAGGGGATGATGTCATCCGCCTCTTCATTTGGAGGCCCAGCAAGGCTCTCCCCCCCCTTTCCTCCCCCCCCCACTCCACAAGTACTGGGTCTCTTTGTTCCCCCAAGAGAACACAAAATGCTGCAGTGTTTCAGACCAACAAGGCTATGCACTCAGTGGAACACAAAAGACACACCC